AAAACTCTCGGCTCAGTTGAGCATCAGCTACTCAAGTCCCAAATCACTTTGCAAGGGGCCGTCACTTCTCTGAAAACCCTCAGCGTTAATTCGCTCACTCTAAAAAACAAGTTTCACTCTCTCTTGTCTTCCAACTTTCTTCCAAACATTAATTGTTCTAAATTGGAAACTAACTCAAAAATCTAGGTATCTAAGTCTGTAATATTTATTTATTGGTTTTAATGCAAGGATGTACCAGAAATTGTTACTTAGAAAGAATTAAGGTCATTTATTCGATACAAAATAGGCAAATGTGCTTAATTAGGAGTATTCTGATGTAGATCTGTAAAAGCTACAAAATGTAAACTTCAAAGGGGCAGGTTTTCGATTAAAGAGTCTATGAAGTCAAGTCATTCATTTCATCTACCGAATCACTAGTACACACCTCATGTTCTGACCATACACCAATATTTTTTAATCTCAATTACACACTTGTAGGTACTGGAAATTGTAAGTGTTCTTTGCGGAAACTACTCGCCCTAAATCACTTGTAATATTTGTATAATGGGAGTGAAAGATAATAGAAAAAAAAAGAAAATTTTCATTTGATTGCGGATCTATTTCCTTCTTTTCCCAGATAAGCCTTCGTTATTTATTATAGAATTTCGTCGGCTGTAAATCGTCTGAATCTGTAGTATTGGTTTAACTGCCGAATGCAATCTGAGCTGATAATGTTTTGGACAATAGATGTTCAGATGCGCTTTTGAGTAATCGTTCTCTGAGCCTTTTGCAACTTTCCACGCAATCAAACTGACTAGAGCGTTCTATATTCAAAAGTTTTTCACATGTGTGTTGAAATGTTCCACTGCATACAGAAATTCTTGCCTTTTGAGCTTGTGGTACGTCGGTTTTGCTTGCATCTGAGATACCCGTAAAATGTTTTTCAAATCAAATATTAGCTTTTCTGTAGGGATAGAGGTTTAAGAAACGATTATAATTGAATTCCTTGAATATTCCTTCTCTGGTTGAACCATCAAATGGTACACTTTGTCAATCTATTTCTTTTGTCCAGCAAATATTGTTTAATGCCATCGTTCTCTTTTTCGTGTTGACCTACTAGATTGCGCAACTTTTCTATCTTTGCAGGCAGAGGCTCGAACTTTGGGTTTGCGTTTAAATGGTCTCCACTTTATAAAAATATACAAGATAGATCTGGATTGCCGCTCTTAGTTGGCTTATACTTAGAGAACCGGTTGAGCTGTCGAGCTCTAATTGACATTGTGGGCAGAGCAGTATATTGTTAACTTTTTCATATCAAACATCGTTTTGGAATTATTTCTGGATTTC